TGTCCAAACATAAATGCACAGTGCTGGACCGCCCCACCCCAGCCAGCCTCTGCCTGCTCCCATTCGACATGTCCATAAAGGCACTTTCACTCAGTCACTTGCTGGGCTGGAAGCAAAGCTGTGGCTTTTCTGCTACCATCTTGCCTTCTCCTCTCATTTCAGTTGACACACTCCACGAACTGGCAGGTCGTACAGCCGCCAGAGCTGGAGGCTACTGTCTGGTGCCATTTGAGAGCCAAGGGATCTGAACCCCGAGACGATGCAAAGCAGTGGACATGACCTGCACTGATTTTCCTAGCAGCCTGTCAGCAGCAGTTTGAGCTGAAACAGAGGTGGGGGGAAAGCATTCTGGCAGGGGAAAAGAGTGATGCAAGGTCAGCTCTCCTGTAGCTTGTCGGGGCCAGAACAACGTGACGCGCTCTGCTGGAGCCCCGCGGGTCTCGTCTTCCCGGCCGCACACAACACTCCTCTCCCCGCGGGAGCTCGCAAGACGCTGCCCTGTTCCTCCTACAAGCAGTCACTTGCTCTGCTCTGCTGGCCCTCATCCAAGCCAAGCTCGTGTCGTCGGCATCAAGCACAGCCCCTGGCTCTTATCGCTGGAAAAGCCATGCTTCTTGCCTGAAGACGCGGTCACACACGCGCTGCTTCTGCCCCCAAGGAAATAGCGTGGCAGCGACAACTCTCTGCCGAGCTGCCAGGGACTGGGAGCAAAGGCCCTTGGAGTCGACAGGGGCAGGGTGTTGTTCCCCACTCCCAAGTTGGTGCATAGTGGCCAACAGCAGCTCCCCTTGCAGATAGCACCATGGGTCTCTCCTGGTGCTATCTGCCAGGGGCAGATGTGACCAGCACCTCTGTCTTGCATCTTGTTCACGAACGAGACCAGCGCAGCATCCCCTAGCACCACAATGCAATGCCATGCTGGCTCTGGGTGGGGGGCGGGGGAAATATCACCTACCACGTCACCAAGCCCAGCTCCCTGCAGCACTCGCCAGAGGTGCCCTATTCAAGCACCGGTCCAGCAGAACCCCATTTCCCTCTGCTGGCATCAGACAGTAGCCTCAGTGTGAGGTGGGGCTGATAGCCATGCCCTTCAAGGAGACAGCGTGGCATCCCCTCTCCCCCGTGACAGCACGAGCTGGGATGCCTTATGCCCTGCTTCTCAACTGCCTCCCCCAGAAACGTGCTGCAGAGCTTTGAAGACCACGTCCCACCGTCCCATGTCACCCTAGAGCCAGAGAAGCTCGGAAACCCCCCACACTGTATTGAACTGCCCCTACCCTGCACGGAGCGAGGCAGGGAAAGGGGCTAGCCTGCGGGCCTTGCTTCAGTGCAAGCTGGAAGCTCAGCGAGAGCTGGCAACAATCCTGCTTCTCTGTCTGAATATTCACCAGCTGTGTCGCACGTGCTGTGCCGGCTGGCTGAGCTGCCTGCCTGACCTCTGTGGTGACCCCCGCTCCCCACGCGGGCCCGGTCTGGCTCTGGTATGAGAGGGGAGGGCTGAGAAGCAGGGGCCGAAAGGGCTGCCAGCATCTCACTGCTGGCTTGATTTGCAATCAGGATGTAGCAGGGCAGTAAAGGACCCTGCCTTACTACAAGGAATCAGCCACCGCGGTTTTGTGCCGACCGTGATCTGCAAGGGGCAGGTGGATGGAGTTACCAGCTCGGCTCTGGGGCCTTCTCCATCGCTATAGAGGGGGCACTCAGCCCCAGGCTGCTGAGCCTCTCCACAGCCTTGGCTTCAGCGCAGTATCAGGGCCAGAGTCTGGGTCCTTAGCCAGGGGTAGGAAAGCCATGGGAGCGAGGGGAAAGGGCAGAGGGAGAGGAGCCCCGAGAGGCAGCGTTTCCGGAGACATGTACCGCAGTACCTACGTTGATCAGGGCCATGATCCAGAAGGCGTAGGACACGCGCGTCACCGCCACTCCATCCATGGGCAGGTCGTAGTGCGAGAAGTTCCCAGGGTGATGGGGGACCAGGGACTTGCGGATGTGGGGGAGGTTGCTGGTGGCGTTGAGCGTGGCGTTGGATTGGATGCAGTTGGACTCTGAGAGGAAGGGGTCGGCTATCAGCGGGCTCAGCAGGGCTCCAAAGCCCACGAAGAAGTGAAGGGCCTGGAAGAGAGGACAGATGCACGCCACTGAGGGCCCGGCCACCTCCTCCGAGAAGGAAGGCTGGCTGCGGCACGTCAGCCCGGCGGGGAGGCCAGCACCCTTGCCTCACCTGCAGGAAGACGGCCGAGTCCTTCTGATAGATCTTCACCAGCTGCATGTTGGCGATGGTGTCGATACAGCCCATGGCAAGCCCTGCCACAGCCATGACCACAGCCAGCAGCACCACATTGTGGCACAGGGGGATGATGGCAAAGACCACGGAGATGGCAAGGGAGGATGCAAAGAGGGCAATCAGCGACTGGGCCAACCTGAGCCAGGGAGAGGGAAGGAAAGGAGCCATTAGGAGAGGACCATGTAAGTCTGGCCTGAGGTCAGCTTGCTCCCACCACCCCCCTACCAGCTGCATCCCTGTTCTGCAAACAGGGATTTGCACCCATGAGAGCATAACAGATTGGTCACAGTGCAGGTGCTGTGCGCTAAGGAAAGGACTTAGACGTGGGCACCTTTAACAGCCAAAGGATGCGTGGACCCAACTGTGCCCAGGAGGGTCACGGTTTGGCCCTTGGATTTGCTTCTGTGCATTTCCAGGCCATTCCAGTGCTCACCTTATCTGACCTCTGGCTTCGCACGGGCCAGAAAACTGGGCTCCTTGTGAATTGGATTGGTGGCCTGAAACGTGGCAGGGGAGGGAAGGAGAGATGGACAGGGTCGGGGAAGCAAAGTGGTACCGTAAATCACGCGTGCAGCCTAGTAATGCAACCTCAGGTCACCCACCGCGGCAAGCTGCGACCAGCTGATGGTGCCAAATAGTAATAGAGGTGTTTCGATGGACCCCGCACCAGGCTCAGAGGCACTAAGGACCAAAAGCAGCATGAAGACCTGAGCCCACGTTCTCCTGCAGCGGTGAGGATGCAAAGGGGCTGCCTGAGCTGAGGGAAGTCAGCTCGGTGGGTCCAGAGGACTCTGGTCCTTGGGCCACTGATTTTTTATTTAAAGGCTGATAAGACCCACATGCTACTTGCTGCTGCCCTTGGTGGTGCCAGGCCTGCAGAGGACCCTCTCTGAGCGCAAGTCTTGGGTGCTAATACACTGGAGTTCAAGAAGAAGTGCGCCGAGTGCCCCGGCTACCCTTCCCCGCCAGCTCCACCCTGGGCCTTGCACAAAAAGGGCTCGTGATCATGTCGCATGATCTCCAGCAACGCTTGCGTGGAGGGGCGATAACCTCCATGGCCGCTCCTGGGCGGGAGCTTTAATCTAGTGGCATTTACATAAGCGCCTGTAGCCTGGAGGACAGCTGGAGGAGACGTGTCGAGGAGATGCCGTGCCAGGTGGGATGTGCCCTCGGCTCTGGAGGGGCTGGCTCCCCTGATGGTGTGGGGATGCACACAGTCACCGCAGCATGCAGCCCACCCCAGCACCCTGCAGGCCCCTCATTTGAAGGAAGTGTCTGGAGCATGCAGTTGTGGAAAAAACGGTCCAGACACGACCCGGCATGCCAGAGGTTCACAGACGATGCCACAAAGCCTGCCTGAGGCTGCAGAGAGCCTGAAACAATTGCCCGGTGTGGGGGTGATCTGCCCTCCTCCCCAGGGGCTAAACCAGCTCTTTCCACCATGGATGTTAACCCCTGGTTTATCTGTATGGGCTGTGCTTCAGCTCACATCACCAGCTTGGCCTCTTTTCCAGGCTCTGGGGGCTCCTCCCTGAGCAGGGCGCTCCTACGACAGGAACGTTTGCTGCGCCCCCTTCCCATCTTGCTCGCGGTGCTAGGACTGCCAGCTCTCCAGGCCTCCTCGTCCCCCAGTGCAGACCCCGGCTGCCTTCTCGCGCAGCTCGGCCTCTCCAGAGCCCTGTCCGCAGCACAGCAGCCGGGTCTATTCAGTGCACCCCGGTGACAGGCAGCCGGGGTTGGGGGCTTCCCCTTTCCTCGGAGAAAAGCTGCAAGGATGCCAGCAGTGAGGCAGGCGAGTGGGTTACGTCACGCGATGCCAGAGCCCTCCTGGCCTGCTGTCAGGTAGTCGGGGAGCAAGGCTGCTCATCTGAGAGCGGAGCTCAGGTTGGCACGGTGCTGCCCGAAAGCTGCCAAGTCTGGAGGCAGGAAGGAAGGGAGGAAGGAAGCCGAGACCAGACAGCAAAGCGCTGAAGGGATCAAGACTAGCAAAATGTGGGACTGCAAAGTCAAAGCAAAGAATGAGGAGCGCAGGCATGTCTCCCAGCACAGACAGGCACTCGGGCCCTGTTCAAGCCTTTCCACTCCAACAAAACACCTGCTGGCTTCTGGAGAGAGCATCACTGCCTGGCTGCTCACAGGGGCGAGGAAAGGCCCTCCAGGCTGTCTGCAGGCAAGAGGGGCTAGCATTGGGGACCTGCCGTGTGAGCTGGCACAGCAGAGCCGGGCATGTTTGCAGAGGCTGGCAGGGCGCATCGTTTGTCAACTAAACGGATATGAGCACAAATCGCGTCCTGGCCCTCCCACCAGGTCGGGCACCTGCCAAGTCCAGAAGACTGGCACCAATTCCTGAGCTCCTTCAGAGAAGAGGGCGCAGCAGGCCGTAGAAAGCAGGCCACGGGGAAGCAGGGCACCCACGGCCCAGCTCAGGCCGCTGGTTGCTGGCGGCGTGGCCTGTTGCACCACTTTTCAGTGCCCCTGGTTTCCCCATCTGTGAAAGAAGAGGCACAGAGCTAGGATTTTTTGCACCACGCTTGACTGTTAGGCAGAAACGAGCAAGTTTCCTTCGCTGTGCTGCTGGCTGGTGCACGCCGACTGCAGACTCGGAGGCCTCCTCGCCTGCGAGCTCGACTCCACGCATTCAAATTAGGCTTGTTTCCAAGGGTCCCCCCCATCTCAAAGGGCCTCGCTTCTTTTTTCCCCTTCCTTTTCACTTCATTGCTTTTTCCTTTTAGAGCCCTCATCCACAAGCTGGGGGGAGGAGGGAGTTGAACATCGCGTTTAAACCTGAACAGCAGAGCTGCAAGGCCCAGCGCTACCGAGGGGAAAAACAAGTAAATAAGAGGAGCCGCCAGCATCGAGGACCGAGGCGGCCCCCTCGAGGGCGTGCAGGGCCCTTTGGGGGAACGAGAGGGAGGTTTGAGCAGCTGGTGAATACGAGGCCTGAAGAGACAGTCGAAATGTGCACCAGGAGATCCCAGAAATGCATGTCATGTTCTGCAGCACCAGCAAAACAACTGCCACGCTGCCTGGGCTTGGTTAGACAGTACCTCCATTACCAGGTTAAACATTAATTGCTAATTTATGCATGCCCTGAAAAAGCTCTAAAGTGATCCAGATTTTTTTTTTTTTAAAAGAAAGGAGCAAAAATTTCCACGTGGCAATTTATCACTAATTACAGCCCCGCCGCTCCATGGGGCCCCTGGAACCAACTGCTGCCAACCCTGCCGTGGACGGAGGTGGAGGCCCTTCTCCCTTCCCAGCCCTGAGCCCCAAGCCGAGCAGGCCTGTACCAAGAGAGCACAGTGCAAGACTAAGAGGGATTCAGGCTTCCCTTGAAAGTTAAACTCCCTGTCAAGCAAGCACGGGCGAGGCACATGCAAGACTTTCAGCTAAGACCCACGCCCCATCGGTGGGTTTTATCTGAATGCTGCCGGCAGGACCGTGTGACTTGTGCTGCCTCCCCAGCTGGCTGCATGGGGATGTGGTGCTCAGCCATCGCAGAGCACTGCTCTACGCGCTCCTCTGTGGCCTGCCAGCCTCGAGGAGGTGCGTTTCAGCAGGGCGCAAAGCGATTCTTGGACACGCAGGATTTTCACAAGTGAGGAGCATCCACACCTTCATCTGAATCCAAAGGGAACGGTGGGGGGGAAACTGTGCAGCCTTATGCTCACAGGTGCGGGCGGCTCTTGCTTATGGGTCCAGACAAGCCCTGCATTGGCAAGGGCGGATTACCTGCAATTCGGATACAGCTGCCTGCTACAGAGTTTCCTGCAGCTGCCTCTGAAGCATCTGGTGCTGGCCAGAGACAGGATCCTGGAGTGGGACTGCAGGAGAGCAGGCGATACCTCTCAGGACAGATGTAGTTTCCAGCAGGTTAAAGCGGTTTAAGCCCTGCGGGGGGTCGGACTTGAAGATCTATAAGGTCCCTTCTGACCCTACTTCTGTGAAAGCAAAAAGGGGCTCAGGAGCAGCAGAAACAAAGCCAGCCGGGCCTTGCCAGGCAGCGCAGAAGAGTGCCAGGAAAGTTCACGGGAGAGTAGGACCAGTCCTAACATAGATAGCTGCAAGGAGGTATGGGGGTAGTGAAAAATGAGAGGGAAAAGAGCAGGGCTGCTTCTCAGGAGCTTGGGGCTACATGCCCAGTGCTCCCTGCCTGGTGCCAGGTTTTCTGTTTAAGCTCCTAAGTGTCCCAGGGCCAGATCTTCTGCAGTGCTCAGCATCCCACAGCTCCCACCAGGACTTTGAAGGCCAGATTTCCACATGTGTATCCAACCCGTTGAGCCCTCTCGCAGCCTGGCCCAGAGCATACAATGCAATAAGAACCATTTGTGCCTTTTGAGTTGTCCATGAACCGCACAGGTGCTTGCAAAGAGGCAGGTACCCATGATCCTCCCCTGATGCTGCAGTGCTCCGGATTAAATCTAGCATTTCGCCAAACAAATGAAGTGCTATGGCTTGATCCATTGCGTGAAACCTATTCCCACTCCTGCAAGAGGAATTATAGCTTGCATCACCTTGTAACGAGCTGTTCTTCCAAACCACACCACAACACGATGCAAATTGTGAACACACTCGAGTCATAAGAAAATATCCCAGTAGTCTAAGTAATCAGAGATCTGCAAGAAGCCACATCTGTTCGGTCATATCTTTCATTAGACCAACTCTACAACTGGGAGAGGTGCCTGAAAAAGCTTTTCACTTTGTGCCCTTCTTCACACCTGGGAAAGAAGCAGGAACAGCCAAATATGGCCTATTCCTCTCCCTGAAGTTTCCTCCCACCAGTCGGAGGAAGAGAAAATGAACAGAATAAGATCAGTGCAAGGTTGTATAGGATGGACAAGACGGCTATGGCGTTTTTCACGATTTGAGGCCCTTTTACTGCTCCTAAGTTTGATTCTTCTGTTTGAATGGAGCAGGACCGGGGGGCTGCAACCACACAGGACAGCCGAGGTGCACCCCGAATCGCAGGAGCTCCGTCCCGCCCTCAGTCACACACGTGCTGACCCCCAGATCTCAGCCTGGTCACACAAGAGCACAGAGGGGGACCTGGCGTCAAGCTTTCTGGCCAGAGGAGCCCCAGGAACGTCTCGGGCTCGACTATGCTAGGATTGCAGCCAAATCAGAGGGTCCGGTACCAGAGCAGCTGTGCCTTGACTTGACCTTTCATTTTGGAGGACAGGTGGGACAGAGCCATAATAAGGAGTTAGTGCCAAAGAGGAACAAAGTCTAGCTCGCGTCTACACAATAAATTAGAACCGGGTCTCTCGTCTCAGCTGCAACAGTAACAGTATAAAGGGGGTCTCCAGGACATCTAGCAGCAGCTTTCACCTCTCCTGGGCGGAGGAGGCTTGGAGCACATAAAGGGGAGCCAGAAGTTCCTGGCTTATCCCCTTTATTATCCCCTTACTCTGCTTTGAGACAAGCTGCCGTGCGCAGCGGAGAAGCTGTCAACCGCAAAAGGAGCTTTACGTAGTTCAAGCTAGAGATTGCTGGTGTACATTCAGGTTCGGGACCCTGGGTTGCTGACCCATGCAGCTTGAGCTCACGGGAAATGTCTCCCACTCCCGAGCGTACCCAGCACTTTCTGACCAGTTTCAGCAGCTGGCGTGTGCGCAATGCCCAAACGTGCCAGGAACAGCCCCTGAAAACAGGGTCCTGCTCAGGAAGGCCGAGCGGGCTGCTCAATTTGCGGTTTGATGTCAGCCCGGAAAGCTAAAAACTGCGGCCAAAGCCCGTTCCTAGAAAAACCCTATCGAGGTGCGCAGCCCAGGCTAGAAGCCGGGTTTGAACCTGACGTTGGAGATGAAGAGAGCAGCGGGGCCGCGTTTTCCGCCTCGTCGCCCCTTCTAGCGTACATGCGCCAGCCTGAGAGCTGGCAAGAGCTGCTGGCCTGGGCAGCGGCAGGGCAAACTTCCCACCGCGCCGTCCCCCTTCCAGCACACGCGGCGCAGTCTGGCGGCCAAGGCCCCTGCCTTCGGGGACAGCATCACCTCCGCCTGGCCCAGCGCTCGGGCTCCTCGACGCAGCGTCCGGCGGGACGCGGCTGTCGCAGGTGCTGTCCCCGAGCCCTCTGCAGGTGTTCGCCGGGGCTCCCCGCTCCCTGAGCGCCACTTTTCAGAGGCCGCGTGGAAGAGGTCCAGGCTCCGCTGCCGCGGGGGCACCTGCTCCCCCCGCTTGCCCCGAGGCCGAGCGCTGCGCTTGGCGGCAGCCCCCCCGGCCTTTCCACGCACGCTTTTCCCGGCCCGGCGAGAGGCGCGGGGGGCTTACGTGCGCTTGAAGAGGCCGCCGAGGCAGCTGCCGAGCAGGAGGCAGAACTGCTGCGAGAAGAAGACCCAGGCGAGCTGCGGCAGCGAGCTGTGCGTCTGGCAGCGCAGGTCCAGCAGCGTGGGGCCCAGGAAGGCGAGGCAGAGCCCGAAGCTGAAGAAGACGCTCCAGTAGGTGAGGGTGGGCTGCAGGTGCCCGCCCAGCAGCGCCCACACCCGCGCCGCGCCCCGCATCCTCGCCCGCGCCCGGCTCCTGGCTCCCGGCTC